CATAAGATCCGCCGCTTCTCCTTCTCTGCTCCCTCTTCGTCGATTTTTCAAGGCTTCTTGGAACTTGGCGATGCGGCTGCACAGCCACCGTGGCGCTCGGGCTCGGACATGACAGCGCCAGGGGCACTCGCAGTGAATCTCGCAGAGATTTTTGGTGTTCGGTCCGAGGTGCTGGCACACCGGACGGCTTCGGGGCTGCGTCTCCACGCACGGGTCCTCAGAGACTTGCCAAAGCTGATACGAAAGCCACCGTTGTTTAAGCCACGTCCGAGTCGGCGAATGTGGGCGATTCGCGGGCCATCGTCCTGGACTCCGGCAGTCGGGTGCCCGAAAGGAGAGCGCAAGAGATGCACTGTGGTTTTTTGGCCTCCGCCAGCGCTCTTAAGGCGAGTGCCGGCTCACCCGCGACCACAGGCACGGCCTCCCCCCCTCCCCTCCCCCCAAATTTCGTATCAATCGCTGAGTCCACCTGCCAGGCCAACTGATCCCGCCGAAATCCAGCGGGTGGAAGCCGAAGGCCCACCCAGCGGTCCCGGTCGAATGCGGACCGCGCCCCGCCGCGCTACTCCGCTACTCTTGATGGGGGGCCCTTTTTGAAGCTCTGAAGGTTTCAGAGCCGAGATCCCGCCCAGTAGCTTCCGCCTCTGCTGCTCCAGCTTTTCATTGTTGGGGAGGCGGCTTCGTGGCGCGTGGCCGGGTGGTCGGACGCTGCCTCAGTGGGAACTCAGACTCGACCGACTTCCATCAACCTCTGTCTTTACGTGCTCTTCTTGTCGGTGGATTGTACTTACAACTGCCGCCATTGCCCGTTGCGGGCACCTGCTACCCAGGCCAACTTGGGGTTAGCCGAGCGCTGGGCGACCATTCGCTGAAGTCCGTCGGCCCGGTGCCCACGTGAATTAAAGCTAAAGAGTCAAGTCTAAGCCATCAGTACAAACTCGACTCAACATGAAGCACGACCAGGATGGCAGTCAACAGTACTCGGAAGAAAGGAGCTGCAGTGAGGTATTTGGTGCAATAGCTTCATACATGCATATATGAATATATGCATATAATTGCATATATGCAGGTGCACATGTACAGAAACGAGCCAGCCATATCATCGTGTCAGTTGTTCCGGGGCATGTCAAGGTGAATAGACTCCCCTCCGACCCCAATACACGCCTGGGCCTGGACCCTAAATACTGAATCCGGCCTGACGCGGCCCTTTGTGAGGGGTGACCTGGCATCCCCACATTTGCACGCGCGAAGTTCCGCAGGCCCCGGGCAAAGGGAGCGGTCTCGACTTCAGTCTTTGGCGGGGTCCTTTCTCAGAGTTCGGGGCCCGGCAGGCTTTTGGCATGGAGGCTGTTTCACGGGCTTCTTGGAATGGAATTTCTGCAGGAAACGAGGCGGAGGCACAAACCCTCAAAACAGTGTTGGCAGTCGATCCCCAAACCCCTCAACCCACAAAGCGGGCTCCAGTTTTGTCAGAGAGACTGTCGCTCGGTGCAGGACGCCGTCTTGGTGATTGCCAGCGATGGCCTTTGGGACGTGATGTGCTGGACTCAGGACGCTGCTCTGAGTCAGCCGGAGTTGTCTATTTGTTCTTTCGCGATTTCATCCGTCGACGTGTTGATCTGGGCGACGATGTTGATGTTGCTGTTGTTGCTGTTGTTGTTGATGATGTTGATTTGATGACAAGATCGTTGTTGGCGGTGGTGGCGGGGATGGTGGCGGTGGTGGGGAAGTTGCTGAGAATCGATGCTGCAGCTGACAACGCTCCTGCCATGTCACGATCTTCTTTCGCTGAAGCAAAACTGGATGCTGTTGATATGGCCATGATGACACCGTGTTGCTGATAGTATTGTACCTGATGGTTCAATGTGATGATGACGATGATGGTGCTGGTGATGTTGGTGATGATGATGATGATGATGATGATGATGATGATGGCTTCGTGTTTGTTGTGGCGATGTTGGCTGTTGTGTCATGCTGACTACTGGCATCATCATGAGCCGACATGTCTCTTCACTCGATGTAATACACCTCGCGTCTTTGCTTCATCAGGTCCGATGGCGACGCGCGGGCGGTGGTCGATCGCAACGTCGCGGAGCGCATGCAGGACAAGGCTCACCAACATCCTCAGCATCCTCATCATCCACAGCAGCCCCGCCAGTACCGTCATCGGCCGTATCCATCTTCTGCCATTGATGCCAGCATTGCAGTAGCGTAGCAGCTGTATGCCGCAAAGAGCGCACAACGCAGTGTCCTGGCCCCAAGCGGCAGACAGGAGTGTTGCCAGTCCGGAAGAAAGAGCTTGAATGTAAGACCCTTTCAGCATCGGCTTTGCAGATCCTGATTCCCAACACATCCCAAAACAATGCCAACTGCACGGAGAGCAACAACGGCAACAGCAGCTTCGAAGACAAGGAGCGGACATGGCGAGGACGACGAAGATGGCGCTGTCGTCAGCACGGAAGACGGCGAGGGGACAGAAGCCTAGCGACGACAGAGCAAACAGGAGCAGTAGCAAAGCTCGGGGGCAAAGAGGAAGCAGAAGCCGCGCCTGCCCTGCGTGGGAACCTTCCGCCGGTTGAACCTTCCGCGCCAGGCCCCCGAGTTTTTGATCAAGGCTGCGCTCCGTGCAGGTGGGGGGTGAGCTTGTCTAGAGAAGCCGAAGCCGCACTCGCCGGAGCCGAAGAAGCCCAAACGGCCGCCCCGAAGAGCTCCAAGAGATGTTTGTGCCAGGAAGCACGGACAATACCACTGCTTTGGTCGCCTTCTTCAGCTCGGTCCAGGCCTTGGCGACGCTATAGCGCCGTTTTTTAAAGCGTAGGCGACTCCAACCGGGGGGGCTTGGTGATGGTTGCTGAGCCTCAAGCGGTGTTGCTTGAGGGTGCCGGCTCCAGCCAGCTGTGAGCTTCTGAGCTTCCGTTAAAGTGAGCGGGAGCAGCAGGCGCTTTTTATCAGAGCCTTGTAGCACAGGACGGCGGACGCAGCTCCCCTGTTAAGTTCCCTCACAACTCAGCTCAAGAGCTCGTGAGCATCTTCGGAGCATCCGCAGTCCTCCGAACAGGCTGAAATCCCCGAGAGTGCCCGAAATTCCGGGCCTCTGGGCATTTCCTGGAAGCTGTCGGCTCCTGTCTTCAACGCTCGAGGCGATGTGGGACGGGGCCCGAAGCTCGTCAATCTGCCGTGAGGCGTTTATTCCCGGTGCGCTGCTCCGGCGAAGTCCCATCGAGTTTCAAGCAGGTTTCTACTGTACTCAATTAGAAGTCGGTCCTACGCCTGCCTGTCGTTCGGTCTGTTGGCATGGAGAGGTTTCTCTTTGCTTTCACCGGAGCGGTGCACTTCTCACCCTAGAGCTGAGGGACAAGAAGGCTCTCAGCGCGACCCTTAGCCCCCGCCGATCCTCGGTGGGCGCGAGGCGATCGAGTTTAGAGCAGAAATGTGGCGGCTTCTTTCATGTCCCGTCCAACTTTCTGCAAAGATCCGTCCACGCAGAGAGCTGAGAACGCGCAGCAGGAGCAATTCACTCGCAGCGCGGCAGAATCTGCAACAAAAGATGGATCTAGCCTTCACAGCATGCAGGGCCCGGGCTTCTGCTTTGCTGGGGTGCTTGTCAGGCTTGTCAGCATCGGGTGCGCGGGAGCACTTGCTAAATAGGGAAAGTCGGAGAAACACTCGGAACACACACGACGATAGCATCGACAGCATGGTCCGAGCGGCAATGGGCAGTTCTCAGCCAGGCGTGGGCAGTGTTCGTTGCGAAAGCTTTCACAGACACGACTGCCTCCAGGTGCGGAGGAGTGGGCCACTTGGAGCTGCACTCTCCCAAGACAGGGATCTTTGCAGTTCTTCAGTCGTCAGGCGCTTGAACCGTTTGGAGCTTGAATAGTAATGCCTGATGATGATGAATGCTACGCCGGGGGTCGTTAGCTTGCTTAGTCCTGATTTCTGCATGTTACAATTAAGAGTTGTGGCAGGCATTGGCGTTTTGATCCCGTTCAAGTCACCCAGCATTGCTGGTTCCCGAAGTTTCTTGGTTCTTCTACATGGGCGCAAATTGCGAGGCAGCAGGGTCGAAAGGGCTGCTCCTCGATGGTGTTGCAGGTTTGGCGCTGCAAGGCTCTGAGAGCCAGCCGAGTGCTCGACGGGTGAAGGATCGAACTCGCTCTCATCGATTCGAGCAGAAAGGGCGAGGCATATATGATCATATATCCAATTCCCACGGTGCGTCAACTTGTGCAGATTTGTGCAAGTGAGACTGTCCATGCTGCCCTTCTCATGTGGCTCAAGAGACCTGCATTTTGTACAGCCTGAGAACACGCGTGCAATCCGAGTGGGAAGCAAGCGTTCGGAAGCTTTCGGAGGGTTGCATAGCAGACTATCGACAGTGCCAACATACCCGGATTGCACGTGCGCTGCGGAGCTGACCTGCAGGCCTCCCTTTAAGGGAATCGCCGGGTCGGGTCGCGAGCAGATCGGGTGAAACCCCGTGCTGCTTTTTAAGAGCGCGCAGGTCTGGGAATCGGAGGCCGGGCCCCGTATACTTCCAAGAAGAGAGAAGTGTAATGAGTGTAATGAAGCTTGTTTAAGAACTCAAAGTGTACTGAGTGCTGAGTGCAATGAAGATGATTTGAGAACTCAGAGTGTAATGAGTGTAATGAAGATTATATTTGAGAAGTCACGCTGAAGTGGGGAGCCGGCCTGGAAGCGGCCGTTTTGTTGCCATGTCGCTGGCGGGCTGCTGCACGGTCACGGTGCCCTCGGCGCGGGACTGCGCTCCCTGTGGGCCGGCGGCCGACGAGACCTCCGCAGCGGCCGAGCTCATGAGCCGCTGTCAGCAGATGCACGAGGAGAGAGTGCCCCCGATCTCTCTGTCTCCGTCTCCGTCTCTGTCCGTCTCCGTCTCCGTGTCTCTTTCTCTCTCTCTCTCTTTATCTCTCTCTCTCTCTTTATCTCTCTCTCTCTCTTTCTCTCTCTCTCTCTCTTTATCTCTTTTACATCCTTGAAAGGACCTAGGGAAGCTGGTGCGGGAAGAGCAGGACCTGCACCTCGCCGAGGAAGGGAGGGAGGAGCGTTGAGCGTTCTTCTGCTCCGCGGGGTCGGCTTCTGCCATGGGCCCTTCCCTTTCTGGCTTTCTGAGGTTGTTCAGCCTGTCGCTCCACGTGGAGCGGCACTTCGCTTCTCCGGAGGAGAGGCGGTCGCGGCCCCCGGCCACGGGCCTGGCCGAAGCATCTGTAGAGAAGAACGGGGAGACCGGTGTCCACTGCAGGCGCTGAAGACCCCGCCGGACAGCGCATCGAAGGACGGAGGGTGACGGACGAGAGAGAGGTCCAATCTCCCCGCTCTGCCAGGAGAGCAACCGGCACAGCGAGACTGACACAGGAGTGAGGTTGAGATGCAACGCGCAGCGGCGTAGAGAGCAGAACGGCGACACACGCGGGCCCCGCGCGGGTTCTTGGCGCTTCTCCACGCGCAAGGAGACCGGCGCGAGGTGCGCTTCGGGCGCCGGAGCTACGGGTCCGGGGCCGATCGGAAGCCTCCGATGCTGCGCATTTGCTCTCTCTCTCTCTCTCTCTCTCTGTCTCTTTCGCGGGGGTTTCGCTCGAGGCCGCAGGCCTTCGAGCCGCCGATTCCGCCTCTGATGATGGCTCTCCCGGCGAAGCCGGAAGCCACGGTGGAGACGCTGCGACCCCTCCAGCCGGGACAGTCCCCCAGCCCCAGCCCAACCAGGCAGAGGGCAGAGGAGGGAGGGCTCTTGGCAGTATGGGAAGCTACTTGTCGCCGGTGTCTGAGAGTCGCAGTGGCAGAGTGGCAGCATCCGCATACACTGCGAGGGGCGGCCGCAAGTTCCGCGGCGACTGGTCGAAGGGAACGGCAACGAGCCGGCTGCCCGAAGCCGTGAACAACACCTATTCGCCCGGCGCCCAGAGAGAGAGAGAGAGAGAGACGAAAGGGGGGAAAAAGGGATGGTCCTTAGGGGAAAAACGGGGATCGTCCTTTCGCTCCTAGAAGGAGCGCCCCCCGAGCCCCGAGCTTCGAACGGCCTCGGAAGGATCAACGGCATCACGTCGCAGCCGATCCAGGTCTTCCGGAACTCCTTCGTGGAGTTCATCAGGCCCGCTAAGGAAGCGAACCTGCTACTGCAACGCCCGTTCAAAGACGTCTTCTGCGCTGTCAGGTCCAACTACTCTTCTGTGGAAAGGCAGCAGACGCCCTGCAGACGGCTGATTGCCAGGAGCCGAGAAGGGCCTCGCAAAACGCGGCGCGGCGCGCTTCCTTCCTGCTCTTTTGCCATCAAAGGCCCGAAACTAGCACGACACTTCCTTGGATCCTATAACAAAGTCGCCTTGGAACATAGCTATTTTAGCATAGGAGACTTTTAGGAACGCTACTTTCGCACTGTGACTTCCAGGATAGCTACTTTCAAAAGTGGCAGGTAAGCAACACTTCCTGAACCTGAGGCCTCCTTCGTCATGTTCTGTGCCTGGCTGCTGGACCGGAAGGAACCCGAACGCAACGGGCGCTTGGGCAGAGCTTGGTCAGGGGCGACCTCTCCATGAGCTTCCCCTTGTTTCCAACATTTTCCAACGGTGCGGGCAAGAACCTCTTTGGCTTTTGCAGCTGAAGGGTATGTTTCTAGATTCCGCACGCCAGGGAGCTTCCTTGCAAGTTACCGCCCATGTTGCCGCCCTCATGAGTGGCAGGTTCCCCGAAACCTCGTTGAGATACACCCTAACCGTCCTAACCTGAAGCCCGCAAAGACTTCAAAGCCTAAAGCCCTTCACCACACCCCAAAACTCCAAAGCACCAAGACCCAACACCCCAAGAGCCCGGATCACACCACATGCTCTCGTTTCTTCTTTTGGGAACCCTATAAACCCTATAAACCCTAAGCCCCTAAACCTTGAGGTGCCTCGCCAGAGCCGTCCGGAGCTCCTACTTCGCCCTTTTGTCCACGGTGGTGATCTTGGCCAACGCCGTCCCCGGGACCCGAATTTCTTCGCGGTTTTGTGTTTTTTGTTTTTAATGAAGGGGGGCTTATAGGGCCCTAAACCCTAAACCCCTAAACCCTAAACCCTAAACGGCTTATAGGGCCCTTCCCAGCCGTCTCCCTGGCGCCCCCTCTCCTTTTTTGTCGAGGTCGTCATCCTGTACGCCACGGACTACGAGATGCAGAACCTCAACCAACCCACCAACCCCCAGATCCGGCCAAGGCCTTAGGGGAAGAGTTGAGAGCTCCCACAGGCCGAGCCCTCGTTGCGGCTTTTCTGACGGTTTTTCGGAGTTTTTAGGACGTTTGGCAGTTTAGGGTTTAGGGGTTTGGGAGTTTACTGTTTAGGGTTTCTCGAAACGGCATCGTTTTGCTCTGCCGCGGGTGCTCGGTCGTTCTCCGTAGCAGGCGCCAAGAAAACCCTCAATCCCAAACTTCGAACCCTGAACCCTAAACCCTCAAACCACGAACCCTAAACCCTATCAACCCGAACAACCCGAAACCCTAAACCCTAAACTATCAACCCTATCAGCCCTAAACCCTAAACCCTAAACCCTAAAGGAACCTGCAGAACCCTAAACCCCAAGCCACGCTTCGAGGTCCGTCGACCTTGCCCTCGCGGGCTTCTACGTGCCTTGGAGAGGACCTTAAGGTGCCACGGTTTAGGGTATTTAGGGTTTAGGGTTTAGGGCTTAGGGCGTTTTGTGGTAGAGTTTAAGGTAAGAAGGTGTAGCGGTGGTCTGCAAATGGCGTTCTTTGTTTCCTTCTTTCGGCTCTCTTGCCGATCGAGGTTGTAGAAGTGCTTTTGAAGCTCATCGTCCACAAATTATTCTTCTTCTGGAACAGTGAATGGCCCGGGCCCCATGTGGGCCAACTCGGCTTTTCGTCCCTTGCGCTTCCGGAGATCGCCAGAAAGTTCGAGAGCCGTCCATCCTAAGGAGATGGAACCTCTTTGACTTCGCCCTGGTGCTGTCGGGATCCTGGAGAAGAGTGCCTCGGAATCCGTCGGCTGCGTAGGGTCTTTTCCGGGACCCCGCGAGGTTTGCGATCGTGGAGAATGTTTTGGCCTACGATTGGATGCATGGCACGCAGGAGCGGAGAAAAGAGAAGCGGCTTTACCGGGCCCCAAGCCCCACCCCTTTACGCCTCGCCGCTCACCGCCGGCCCGGGCAGATGACCAATAGTTCGTCATACTTATGGTAGTTTAACTAGGACGACGTCGACTACGGTGTGATGATGGTGGTGAAAGTGATGCTGATGGTGAAGCTTGTGGTAGGCATGGGAATGTTGACGAACACGGTGGAGTGGATATAGTGGCGAAGATGGCGATGATGGACAGTGGATGATGCATGATGCTGGTGGTGGTGCTGGTGATGATGATAGCTGCAATGACGGCCATGTTGACTATGATGTTTTGATGGTGATGACAGTGCTGAAATGATCATGTCCATGAATGTCACGATTATGTTGGTGGCGACGGTAGTGACGGTACCAGCTTTCTCTTCTTGTCTTGTTACTTCTTATTCTTTCTTTCAGACCGGCTGCCGCTCATGTTGCTGTCGCGGTCAGTGTCTTGGTCGTTCTCTTGATCAAGCTGCGGTGTCGTCGCTTCGCAGGACACTGGCGTCAATTTGAACTTCCTGAGGCGGGCATCCCGACCACCGCAATCAAGTGCAGTAGCAGGTGAAGGAAGTCAGACAAGCGACTCTTGTGCTTCTGACCGGGCGAGGACGAGGATGACTATGCTGTCATATGCCGATGACGGAGTTGATGATGCGTATGTATGGGCGGATGGTGACGAGGTGTGCAGCACACACTCTCCTTGAAAGGCTCTTCCGACTCTGCAAGATTGTGAAGATTCTGCGTATTTTCCGTACGCTGAAGTTCTTCAGCGAGCTCCGGCTCATGCTGGACTGCAGCCTGTCAGCAGTAAAACGGCAAGAACAAAAGCAGCCTTTTTAAGGGGAGAGTCGGAGTTCTCGTCCTTTCAATCGACATCCAAGGCATGATTGGTTCGCTGCTGAACGCTGGGGCCCCACTCCGCTTCTGAGCTTCGCCCATGGTTGCGGTCGCCCGCGGTCGCCCGCGTTTGGCGCGCCGAGGTGATTTGGTGCATCGTCATGCTGGCCGGGGGCTTGGGGAGCCCGGGACCCCTTGGCATATCAGAAGCGCAGAGGTAAGATGAGACGAGACCTCGGTTTTCGACACCATCGGAGGTCTTTGTGATGTACGTCTTTGCCCTCTTCGTGCAGCAGCTCCTGGCCTCCCACCTCATCGAGGATGGGGGCCGCGAAAGCCGCCTGGCGCAGAAAGAGACTCGCTCCACCCCTACATCTTGGCTCTGAAGTGCTCTTCCCGAAATCAACACTTCCTGCGCGACAAATCGGCCCTGTCTGTCTACGAAGGGGCTAGATTCTAGTAAGCTGATAGTAGTATACTCCTAGCTTTCACGCAACAAAGTGCATATAACAAGCAATCTCCCTTCTGTCTGGTTCATAGGGACTACTATAAGGGACCTTCGGGGA